ACCAGCTCGCAATCCAACACCGCTTCCTGCACTTGCAACACCACCTCCTGCACCAGTGTCGCCGCCTCTTGCACAACGCCGTGAGAAACGCACTGTTAAGCCTCCTGGCAACTGGTGGGTTGTTGCACGAAATCCTCCACCTGCTATCCCTGATAGTAGTGATGAGGATGAGCCGGAAACGCCAGAGGATGAGCATTTCGAAGATGGACAGTTTGCGGGAATGGCTTCTAGCTAGTGATCTGCAGGGGTAACCCTGGGGTGTCCAGACGCTAACCCCTACCCGCACCCGTCAAAACCCCGACCCTCGCTAAAGGGTACGGGTACCCGTTCCCACGGGTGAGGGTAGACCAAAGGGTTTGAAGGGTATAACTACCCGCCGGGTCGACATCAAGGGTACATGCTAAATATCGAGAAGGAGCAGTGATATAACATGTATTAAGTCTATGGCAATGATAAATCTACTCTACTCATCCCCATTGATCTCCACAGTGCCTCCAGTAGTGGTTATCTTGAGCTCGGGAAGCTTGGAGGCAGTGACGATGTCGGAGGTTTGAACAAGCCCAGCTTTGAACCAGGCACCGAGGCACATGAGCGAGCGCGTCGATTCCGCAGATAGGCGATTCCGAATATGAGATAGCAGGATGCGGCCTTGTGAGAAGACACGCTCGACATCAACGGAGGTAGCTAAGACTGTAGTCAGTGTCAGAAAATGACTCAACAAGTTATGTACGCACCAGGAATACTATGGTAGTTCAATGCCATCCTTGATAGACGAGGATAGATACCTTGCCGTGCCCTCCACCACCCAAGAACATCAACAACCTTCTCCCTATCTTCCTCCAGGTAGCACGTCAATTCATCTGTGACTGTCCGAGATGCTGGACCCGTCTCGAGCATGTCTGAGAGGTCGTCGAAAATGTTGGCTGATGGCGAAGACTACCAGATGATTCGTCAATCTTCCAAGACAGGGAAACGGACGAGGGACTTGCCTTCGTTGACGGCGCAGCTGTTGATGGGTTTTCGACCTCCATGTCTGCATACGACCTCGCAAACTCCTCCTTGACAATGTCGATAGCCGTGTCGATCCAATCCTCTGGCCATCGAGCCTTCTTGAGATAATCGAGCTTGTACGAAGGGTGAAGAACTGTGGTGGGGATGCAATCAGAGAAAGGTGACTCGGACATCATAGATGATAAGTAGACTTACTTGTAGCGATCCGATAAACGTCAGACTTGTCGGTGAGGTCGTAGTAATGATTGAGTAACTTGGCACCGACTGCGAGAGCGGCCTTGATCGCGGGCAAGTAGTTTGACTCGGTAGCATCGGTAGCCAGCGCCTCGTCGATCTTGTCCATTGCTGGTAAAACGCGTGCGATGTTCGATGACGCCTTGGAGAAGGAGAGTGTTGCCTCCTTGAAGACCTACATGAAGTCATGATCAAATATTGCTCCGCACCTTCATGAGCTGAAAGAAACTCACCTTGAGCACCTTGCAGAGCTGCGCCGCTAGTACCCATTCTTCTTGGCTCATTTCGTATTGCCGAAGCTCAAACTTGCGATTCGCCGTCAATTCGTCGATCGCTGTGCGGTACTCGATAGCAAACTTGAGCATATCATACGTGGAGTTCCAGCGAGTCTTCACATCGCGAGGAATCATGCGAGCTGATAATTCGAGGCGCTCGAGGATATGGAACCATTCCGGGAGAGCAAGAGTTGAAGAGTTCTTGACCGCAAACGAGATTCGACGAAGCTGGGCATGCGATCAGGGCTATTAGTCACGGGGACAAACACTTACAACTCACTTTGTTGAGTACCATTCGCACAGGTAGAACCTCATCAGAGATATCTTCATCATCCTCATCGAGCTCGTCAAGCTCGGGAAACTCGTCTTCGCTCTCTTCGCCTTCCTCGCCGTCATCCTCAAGATTGTCTTCAAGCTCATCCAGCTCATCGAAAGCATCCCCGGCATCGCCTTCGGACTTCTTTTTTGGCTCGAATTGCCGAATGATCTTCTTTGCGACGAGGTTCACGATGTGCAAGAAACACCGAACACGGGATTTTTGGCCGCGAAATTTGGGGAGAATGCGAGCAAGCTTGACAGTCATGGTGTCGTTAGGACTTGCGTTATCAGCCGCTAGCGCAAGGATCTGAATTCGGTAAGTACACGATCATCTGCTGCAAAGGCAAAGTTGTATTCACCTTTTGCTCGATGCCAAATTCTTTCAGTGCATCAGCAAATTCTCGCGCTAGATTTACGCCCGAATGCGACTGGGCGACTTCAATGATGTCGAGAAGGAAGGATAAAGGTAGGCCGTTCTGTTCTAGATGCACCGTAATCGCGACATATGCCTTGTGATTAGGTGATGTCCATCCATCCGTCGCGAAGCTCAACGACCCTTCGTAGTCCTTGCAACAAGTTAGTATCAAACAGAAGCTATCACAGATAAAGCTCACTGACCTGAAGAAACTTAGCAATCCTTTTTTTTCGTCTGCTTGAAGACGTGTTTGACATCTCGAGCAACTGTGGCCCCCGACGGAATACGATAGTGCGGCCGACCAGTTTTCATTAACATGTGGAAGCCTCGGTCCTCAACAATTGAGAACGGCCTCATCGATTCCGCCACCCACTTGACGATTTCGGCTCTTTGAGGGACGAGGAGTTAGTGATGTGGTCACCTTGATTCCTCGCTCGTGTGCTGACGATGCATGTAGCTCACCACGCCTTTCCCCTCCAGCCTCGAAAACATCGCAGCAATGTTTCCATTTGGCGTGTTCTTCAACTTGCCAACCGCCTCACGGACCTTCGAAAGGTCTTTCAACTCGTAAGCCTTCTCAAAAGCCTCGTCACCCCAGCACTTCTTACAGTGCCCTCGAAGATTCGATGTCGATCCCTTGTCATTGGTATCAAGATACCTACGGATTCTCGCTCCGCACCCGACAGCCGCACATTTGAAGATGTGACACCGCCTGCCGTTAATGGATTCGATGGTCGGGATAGGCTCGAAGAAGCCATAGATCGGTGAGTCCCATCCCTCCATGAGCCGCGCTGTTATTGATATGATTAATACAGCTTTCATTGACTAGCAATAGCATCATGACGCACCAAGTTCTTGCTCAGGGGTTTCGGCACCCGAATCGGTCCCCTTTCGTCCGCCGCCCTTCACAGTCTTCTCGCCTTTCTTCCTCGGAACGAACTCCTTTAAGATATCCTCAGCATCACTATCAATTTCGATGACTCCGGGCCCCTTCGACCGTGCGGCAGGCTTAGCGGAGGCGATGTTGTCGGGGAGATCATCATCGCTGCCATCGGCGGCCTCGAGGATGTGTTTCGGATTGCGAGGGCTGGAATTGGGTCTGCTGTCAGCGTCGTCATCGTCTTCCACTCGGGCCTTGCGGCTTTGGTGGATGTCGAGTTTCTGCTGTTTCAGTATGGGCTGAGCAATGTTGTCCTTGTCGGTGAGTTTAGATGCAAGCTTTCGCTTTCGAGACTGAGGAAATTGTGACATAGTGGGATATTGGCTACTCTCAAAGCTCAGCACCGTTTATATACCGTCGTTGCGGGCCACGGCACACCTTGTACCTACTACCACTACTATTGACCTATGTAGGCTGCGTTGTTTGTGTCTGGCCACGGCCTGTGGCTTTTTTTTGTCTTTTATTCTAGTACAATACGGTAGATTGATGTACAATGTCGTGGCTACTGACGCAGGCCATCTCTCATGGCCAAACCCTCAAACCCGCGGGATGGGTGGGGTTTTCAGGAGGGTCTGAGCACTGAGACCCTCACCCGCACCCGCACGTACCCACACCCGATACCCGGCGGGTTAGGTGTACCCCTTGCAGAACACTACTTCTAGCTCAGATCCGCGCACATACACCGGATGCAGAGAAATGGAGAGATGCTGCTAATGCCGAAATGACATCCTTGGTTGGCAATGGCACTTGGGAGTATCATTGACTTGCCTTCTGATAAAAAGGCAATTGGCTCTGGTTGGGTATTTCGCATTAAGCGCAATGCAGACGGTTCTATTGAGCGCTATAAAGCTAGACTCGTTGCAAAGGATAGTCAACGCCCTGGCATTGATTACAACGAGGTCTTTGCACCTACATTCCGTCCGGCCGCTCTGCGCCTTATTCTTGCCATTGCTGGCATCGAGGACATGGAATTGCGCTCAGTGGATGTTACATCTGCTTTCCCCAATGGTGACTTGGAGGAAGATATCTAGAGGGATTTCATCAAGGTGGTCCCAACCAGGTTTTGAAGCTGAGCAAGTCGCTCTATGGCCTCAAACAGTCAGCCAGGCAGAATAAGAAGTTGCATGCACTTCTAAAGATGGGGTTTACTAGACTTGAATCTGACCGCTCCATTTACATTTATGTCAAGGGAGAGAGAGGTCAAGATCATTGTCCGCATCTACATCGATGATATCACACTTGCATCGAAATCCACTTCTGCGCTTGACAAAGCTGTCAATGAGCTCTCTCAGCACTTCAAAATCCATGACTTGGCCACCTCTAAAGTGGTCCAGAATGAGAACTTGCTGATATCTGGTCCATATTGAAATTAGGGAACGAAACCAGGTAGCTGTACTGAGGGCCCAGCTGGGGCTGTCATCCGCATCGCATTTGACATACTGATGACATAGCCTGCCTGAAATGATGGCACATATGCAGTGGGGCCTACTGCACCACATTTGTTACTTCTATGCCCGGCCCTGCGCAATCCATGTCAAGAAACGTATGAGGGCAAACTCACAACCTCTCTGTGCACTCAAAATTTGTCTATGAATTTTCTTCTGATGATCCACTCTGGGTAAAGCCACAGACGTCCTTTGTACCGCCATCTTCTTCTGCATATATGATGATGAGTCAAGTCATGTAGGTTAGATCCTCTGAGTGATCCAAAGATACTATCCAGTGTGCCTGCTCTCACAGTGCTAGTTGATTGGACACCATGATTATCCTTGGTTACAATATTGAAGTAACCAACTTCTTCTGTACTGGCTACCTAGCTCAGTGGTTAGAGCAACCTGTCTAGTTTGCAGGAGGTCCCAGGTTCAATTCCTGGTGTAGTCACTTTTCGGTTTCTATCAATATAGTACTGATAGCACCCCGAGCAGAGCATCCTGCCAGGCTCATTGGGGTTGTCGCTGTGAAGGAAGTGCAACTTTGTGCCTTCCGGAAATGTTGCCTTGCATGGCTTGTGCACACAGTGTATCACAGCAGTCTTTTCAGCACCGGTAAAGTCAGCAGCATACTGGGTGGTCTCTTCAGACATAGTCAAAGGACAAATGGTGATGTGGAAGAGGTACTGGTGAGTTGGCAAGCAGTGGTTTAGGACATGGCAAAATAAGTCGAATTTGATTGTGACAAGTGTGATATTGAGAAATTGGCTAATCACTGAAGTCTGCAAATTCTTGGAGGTCGGTGTCGTTCTTGTCCTCACTCCCGTCCTGCAGATAAAACAGGATTATCTAAGCCACCGATGTATACATAACTATATGGCCCAACGACACCATCACCGTGCCGCAGCTCCCAGAGGCCAGCCATGACAGGCACATCATGCGCCTCACCCATGAGCAGGGCAGCTGCAAAGGCAGGATCACGAGGAAGTGCAAGAAATGCTTCCAGCAAATCTGGATATACGGCCCAGAATGTGAGAGATGATACCAGGGGACTTCCAATAGATGCATATAAGGCTGAGGCTTGTTCACCAAAAGTTGGAGGCACTAGCTGGAAAACAGGGTTATCAGGGGGGGCCCACTCTCTCTTGTCAAAGGGTTTTGGAGAGATGACAACCTTGAGAAACTGCATTCATGAGGCGTCTAATGTAGAACTTGGCATGAAACCTAGAAATTAGGACTCACACAGAGATAGCGGAGTTCAAATTGGTCACGGGACCCTGTCGCATTGTGTCAATTCACTGTGCTGCACACAGGTTCTCTGTCCTTCATTAGCTCTGTCTAGTATCCTTGTGCCCCAACCAATTACTCTGTATACTATCTCTGTACCTCAAGAATATCTGCTGTGTCCGTCATGCACGATATGTCCAAAAGTTTGGAATCAGTGTGCAAGCATTTGTTCGGGCGATATGGGTGTGATGGTTCTGGCTGCCTGCGCTTTGGGATAGGTTTGACTGGGCGGGATGGAGGCACAGCAGTACTGGAGTGCCCTTGCTCTGGGGTTCCACCGTGCTGGGGGAGAGTCGATGACGAGGCTACTGGCTGGATGTTGATGACATAGAAGCCGGCACTGGGAGGGTGGAAGATGATGCAGGAGGGCCTTGATGATGTGGGAATGTCGACGGAACATCGAGGATTTGGAGCAGGACCTGGTTGTTCTTCCCCATAATGAGGGGAATCTCATACCACTCCTCATCCATTTCATCCACTGTCTGGATGTGCCCAAGTAGGAGTCTGCAAAGATCATCAGGAGAGTGATGAAGGAAGAGGCCAAACTTACTAATCATAGCCAGCATGCAAGCGGATATCTTGTATTGCACCTCGTCACGGTCACCAGATCCACTTTTTTTGACTTGTGTTTTTGGCTGGAGGCATGGCCGCAAATCCACCTGCAATGACTGGGACCAAATCTATCTTGTTCTCAGAATACTTGGCAATCCTGGATAGTTTGATCAATACATGATACATAGATCTGTTCGAGATGGACTCACTTAAGCGCCGTTATGATGTGATCAAGCACCTCGCGGAGATTGACCCCATAGTCCTTAATCAGGTGCTCGAACGCGGGGTTACCATAAAAGAATCCAGCTTGCTGAGCTGCCACTGGGTCAGCGCTGGTACTGACGACGGCGCCAATGATCCAGGTCAAAGACTTGGTGGAAAACTTTCGCCTAAGGGAAGAACAGTTTCAGCGCAGACACTACCAGATGAGGGTCAGATCTTACCGACGTGCTAAACTGTGCGAGGGCCCTGGGTATGGACTTGTTTGGCCCATCGGTGCCCACATCGTGCATGACTCAGTCGATCTCAGCCTCCATCGTGGCAGTGAGAGCATCCCATTCTGCTTTGTTGAGGTCGTCGAATTTTTGATGATACATCTCCGTCATGGCCTGCGTCCATTGCTCGAGAGATTTGCCCTCAACTGAAACAATATCCCCGCTGTTAAGTCATACACTGTGTTTTAATGAAAAGAAGTACTTACAGTCAAGGTTGCCACCACACAGGCCGAACCAGTGTTTGGCGGTGTTAAGCCTATTGGCTTTGCGACTATTCATGACACGAAGGCCACTCTTGTTGAAAACCTGTTCGGTAGCGCGTCCGTGCACCTCTGCAAGGGCCTTGGCTTCCTCGGTCACATGTTCACTGAAGCGGCTGTATTGATCTAACTCAGTTTTGATGAACCGCCCACGCTTGAAGCAGCAGCCAGCGCCAACAGAGCCTTCGTTGTCGCCATCCATATCATCGTCATCATCAGACTTGTAGTGGACGTGTGGTGGTTTGTTGTCCAAGTCCTGGTCTCCATCAAATCGCGCCCACATCAAACATGTCCTACTCACCACCACCATTGTCGAAGTCCAGAAGAACATCTTCATCGTGAGAAGTCGACGGCCCTTCCCTTCCCTTTATCATCCTTGGGAGCAATCTCGTCATCTTCCAACGCCACGTCAGCCTCAAACTCCATGTCTAGATCAGCATCCTCCTCCAATATATACAGCTCGGGAGTATGTACATGCTGGACAGCGTGCGGATGCAGCAAGGGCGCAATATCCATCGGGTATATCAAACCATCCCAGGTGGTAGAATTGGGCAAAGTCTGTCTCCTCATTGACTTCGTCCTGCTTGCCTTCCGTGTTGCTTGCCTTCTGTGTGCCTACGTAGAAGCACTCTGTTCTGTGGACAGGAAAGTGCTGGAAGGCATAGTCGACGTCGAGATCGATGGTCCGTAGAAGCACTCTGTTCTGTGGACAGGAAAGTGCTGGAAGGCATAGTCGACGTCGAGATCGATGGTCGGAGGAATATGGTAGCCATCGGCATCAAGCCGAGTTGATTTCTGTAAGGGTGAGCTGTGATGTGAAGCTGGGCAATGGCCTTCTGGGACGGGGTTGATAGAAACCGAAAAGTGACTACACCAGAAATTGAACCTGGGACCTCCTGCAGACTAGACAGGTTGCTCTAACCATTGAGCTAGATAGGCACAGAAGAAGTTGGTTACTTGAATATAGTAACCAAGGATAATCATGGTGTCCAACTATCAACTGGGGTGCACTGTGAGAGCTGGCACACTGGATAGTATCTCTGGATTACTCAGAGGATCTAACCTATTACATGACTTGACTCATCATCATGTAACAGGGGTACTACTCCTCGTTCTTGTGTAGGATCTGGTAGTATTCATAATTTTCTGCATGCTCCGACTCCAACAGCTCTTCCAGTGGTGTTTGAAACATGATGGGTGCATTATCAAGGGTCCGGAAGTCGTACTCATCTCCCTGGACGAAGATGTTCGCATCAGAATTGTAATCGGGATCCCCGCTGTTGTGCCAGCACGTGATCTCGGGCTCTGGCTCTTCGAAGTCCGGGCTGAATAAGTCTTGGGGCATGGTTGGTTTAGCAGCAGGGGAGAGGTGGTTGTTGGTAATGGCGTGGTGGGACCGGGAAGGACAAGGGGGTATAGAGCTTGGACAGTCTGGGCAGCAGATGTAGGTGAGGAGTGTGAAGGAGGTGATGAGTGGATTCGGGGCCCGGATATCATTGCCTTCATGTCCTGGATCTCTAAGTGTGAGAACATGAGGCGCTTGGAAGACCTGACAAGATGAGGTGTCAGCATCGGGAACTGAACGGAACACACTCAACAGGATGTCTAGAGCGGGATTTACTTGCACGACAGGGCGTCAAGTACAAGTACTGAGACCATCGAAAGGACGTCAAGATGGGTGCATTGCAATGGGATAGACTTACAGGGCAGGTTTTGTACTAAAATTAAAAGGACATGAATGAGTGTTAACTCTGGAATAAATCAGACAGTGCTTACTCATAGGCCGCCATTTGGTGGCGTAGGCTTGCCAATCGACTTATAGAACTTGGCCAGCACCAATGCTAGGGCCTTTGCCCGGTGCATTAGCAGGTTTTCTAGCCTTGATGACAGACTAGGAATTCCAGTGAAAGTATACTGATGGCACTGGCATCGCGCCCGGGGATGGTCCGTTGGTGGAGATAGCGGCACTCGCTTGAACGACGCTTGATGCATCCCTAAGAATGATGAGATGGCGAAGCCTCTTATCTCCGGAGGGAACTCACTTGAGTAGGTGCAGCCTTCCCTTGAATTTCTTTAGCTGTGGGTTGAAGGACTCTCGATGTTGGTGTTTCCCTGAGAACCATTAGCCGGTGACGGTAAAGATTCTGCGATTACTTGGTTCCTTGCGCTTTGGATGCTGTGGTTGCCTTTCTCTTGTACAGGCTTCCGAGTCGAGATGTTGGCAAGCGTGGCTTTCGGAGGAGCTGCCCCCTTGGTGGCACCACCATCAACTTGGGACTCAGCATCATCGTCAGCACCAACCGGGTCCCGGGCTCGAGTTTTTCCGTCAGCACGTCTGACAGGGTTTCCTGTGCACTCGTGGTCATCAGCGCCTTTGCCAAAGCCACTTGAACCTTGGCAGGTGTGGACCTGGCAATGTGTAGCCGGCGAAGATCATCCAAATAAAGAAGAACTTACTTGATGACCTTGGTTTTTGGGGCAGGCATCAGGGTCTCCTGTGCGCTCGTGGTCCCAGCTTTTGTCAGTGCCTCTGCTGCAGCGGCTTGAACCTTGGCAGGTGCAGACCTGGCAACATTTAGCGGGTGCAAGTCTTCCAAAAAAAAAGAGTACTTACTTTGTGGTCCCAGCTTGCACCTGGGACTCTGCTGCAGCAGCTGAAGCCTTTGTAGGTGCGGTCCTGGAAACATTGAACGGGCAAAGATCATCCAAAGAAAAAAAGGACTTACTTGGTGACCTTGACTTTCGGGGCAGGCTTTGGCTTCATCTTGAAGATGACGGTGTTTCGAGGACCGATGGGCGTGGTCTTGGGCAGAGTACATGCTGCCTGAGAGTATGACATCTTAGGCGTAGTCCTGGTA